CTTTCCCTAACCCACACCATGTCCACAGCACTGGGCTGCTCCTCTGTGCCTGCAATATGGGGTTGCTGGCCAAACAATCCAAGCCTCTCATTCTGGGCTATAAGCTGTTTGGCTGAGGCCACCAAATGCTGTGAAACAAACACAGACCTTAAAATAGAATCACAGAATATCCCACGTTGGAAGGGACCCATTAGGAATCAAGTCCAACTCCCTGCTCCCTGCAGGACTACTTAAAACTAAATCATATGACCAAGAGCATCATCCAGATCCTCCTTAAATATTGGTCCTGATCCCTGCACCCTACCAGAGTTTTGCCACCAACCTCAGTTGCCCTTACTGGTGTTTGAACTAAGTTTGAACATTTTTTACCAATTTTGGTTCCACTCAAAGTAAGTAACACTCCTTTGTATTTTTCAAGACAGCAACACGCAATAGAACTTTTTTTAAAAATGTCTGGCTGTTCTCTTTTTTTTTTTCCATTCAAATTGTACTGAAAATGAGAAAACACTGAAGTATATTGGTAAAATGTGACTTAATGTTTTCAGAGGTGTCTAGGATAAAGGGCAGAGGAGTGCTGTGATGTCCTTGCAGACACCAGAGTAGGTGAAGACTTTTTCTGTACTGATATCCTCATATGTGGACATGTACCAGCACTACAGTCAGCAGGCAAGTGATTATTCTGGTGATATCTAGCATAGTCAGAGCATTCTGACACAATAGTGTTAAAACAGAAGATGGATATCATCCACCAGAAAAAAATAATCCTGCTAGGAATTTACTTCCAGACATTGGATTTTAAGAAGAGGATATATTGCCTGCAGATTTCTGATGCCAAAAATCACTCTCCACTGTTTTATTCCTTTCGTAAGGAAAGTTAACTCATGACTTGACTTAGGCAAGCTGAAATGTGAAACGAGTATCTGTTCATAGGAAGCTGTCTCAACAAATTCTGAGAATCCTGAATTAAAAAATAAACAACCCCCCCCCCAAACCAAAACCACCCTCTCAAACAAATGAAAAAACCCAGAACGTAACTTCAACACCAGGCATGCATTACTTGATTTCATTAAATTAAACCTTCCAGGAAGATTTTTGGTTTTGCTTTAGTTTTTCCCCTCAAAGCGGAAACTCCAGCCTGCTGGTTGCCCAGCTGCTTCAGCTTTATTATGGGTTTTGCTGTCCCCTGGGCACCTGCGGCCACATGGGCCAACGTGTCCCAGGGCAGCGCTAGACACAGCCGTGAGCACTGGAGCCTGGTGCAATGGACACCGAGGCCAAGGGGGCTGCAGGTTATGTCCCCTCTACACCAGCCCCAGCACGGGCAGGAGAGGGGCAGCAAGGAGAGCTGTGCACCCCTCTCCTTTTAGCAATCCCTAACAATAACAAGGTGCGTGTAGTGAAGGGGAAGATGATACACGAGGCACCCTGACTGCCCTTAAGGGTACTTCTGTAAGGGTAAATTAGACTGGGAGCACTAGCACATGCTCTTCCAGCTTTGTTAGTCTGATCTTGGCATGGGCTGTGATAATTATCACTATCTATCTCATCAGTGCTTATGGGGAGTCTGAGGATGCAGAGCAGTTCCCAACAGGCAGCACAGATGAAGACATGCTCTTCTGGGGGAAGGAGAGCGTTGCGAGGATAGCTATGCCAGGGGCTCCGAAAATGTTCCCTGGCTGGTTTTTTTTCACTGGCACAGAAAAACCTAAGGGACTGTCTTGCAGCAGCTGGAGGTAGATCAGCCATGGGCAACCTGTGCTGCAGGCAGCAGCGCTCATTTCCAGTTTTCAGGGGAAAGCAGGCACAGCGGGAAATGTGGAGCTTTACAACTGCGCACAAAGACGGATGCTATTGCAGAAGCATTAGCAAAAGATGAATGCATTTGCACCTACAAAGTGAGCCACTTTCAGTGGTAGAAGTGTGTCAAAAATTTATGTGCAAAATTGCAAAACAATTAGAAGAGAAACCTGCTTTTGAAATTGTAGCCTGGGCCCTACTTCTAAAGATCCTTTCATCTCTCCTCTGTCTCTGAATTCAGAAAGGATTCTCTCCACATTTGAGATCATCTGTCTCCCTGTTTAATAGCAGTCTAATTATGATTATTTATTAATATTTCATAAGGATGATCAGGCCTTTCCCTTATCCTGCGTGTGAAGATAAGACACAGTAATTTACAAGCCCCCCTTTTCCTTCAGCCAGACCAACAGCCCCATCACAAGGCATCAAAATGTTAAGGAATGGTTGAGGACGAGCTCGGCAGTAATATTTTTTTCCAAAATGAATTCCAGAAAGGTTTCTTAAAGCAACACATTTACTATCAATGACAAGGATAGTGATTCATAAGCCTTAAAACCTTGTGAAGGCAAGATCACACATGACAACTTTTCCATGTGTCGGGTAGCTCCCATTTTTCATCGTGTCAGTTTTCTAATGTGGATTCCAATAATGAAGAAAATATTTCCTTAGGGGAGAAAACTTATCAAGATGCCAGGTTTTCCTCCCAGTGACCAACTGCATGTCATGAAAACCAAGGTCCGATGCCAGCTGAGGACAGGAGCAGCTGGACAGGTACGGAGACCTCGCTGCTCGGCAGGGTCCCAGACAATTTTTACTCACCTCTAGTGTAGTCAATACAATCTTCTCAACTGAAGAAAAATAAGCCTCCCACAAGAACTGTGTCTGCTGTCTAAGTGCTAGGATTTTATCCTGATGGATAGACCTGATTGTAGAAGGAATCTGTAATACAAGATGTAATATAGTCAGAAGCTTCAGAAAACAATGCAATCTCATCAAATTAATATGCTGCTGACAAGGTCTCTCTTCTATTAGCAAGCTGCACAGCTTCAGCGCTCCTGTCCGACAGATGCATGTGTCAACAGTTAAAGCCTTGATGTAAAGCGAATGAGACGCAACCCTTTATAACCTTTGGTACTGAATATATGATTTTTTTAAAAAATCTGCTTTCTTTTAGTTTTTGGTTGTTTTATGGCAACAAAAGCTCCCTCTCCCCAGCGCAGTGACGTGGCACAGTAAAGAGCTCCTCCATACATCCCTTGTGCACAAAGCTTTTCATGGACTAGTATTTTAACAAACTAGTACCTGCAGGTCTTGAGAGTCCAACAATAATCCCCACTCTCAAAGTATATTAAAGGGATCTGGAATTGCATTTACCGCAGCATGGCAGCACTAAGTGCCCTAAGGAAAACACAGCAACATATTAACTAAGACTCCACGTTCTGGGAGCCCGTGGATCAAATTGCACTTTACTAATTACCGTAGGTGGAAAGAATAAGGTGTCCCACAACACCTGTTATTCACAAGCAAAAACACTGCTTCTTTTTCCCCCTCTCCATTAAATCAACATGTTAATCCTGGTATAAGTTGCCTTACAAATAAACCCCAAATTGTCCTGCTGCAATGCTTTGTCATTAAAAATGTAACTGCTCACTGGATCAGAACGGAGGGGTTTCACTTCTACACCCTTCCCCATCCCCACGTCCCTCTTCCACACTGGAGGGAAACTACTGTACGTACGTGTCGCTGCTTAACTTCGTAGGACCTCGACCAAGGCCTCCACTTTGACAATGCAAACTGACATTATCAAGGGAATTTAACTGCAATTTCCTTCCATTACAAGGGCTACTCACAGCACCAGAAAGGCATCTAGGATACTTTGCTGACTTGAGTTCATTTTTTTCTAGGAATGAAGACTTGTGCTTTTGTGCCTACTTTTTTCTGTGATTTCAAATTAGACCACCTCATTCTCAGACACTCATTTCTCACAACTCTTTTCCCTAAGTTGTCAGTTGTAAAAGTATATACCTTGGCTGTGTGTTGCTTTTTGCACATCCCAGCTCATTCTGAAGTTTAACCTGCACCGCACCACACCCTGACTTTTCCTGACCAGAACACACTTTTTCCTAAAATATTGAGAGGTGGCAGTGATCATTATTTGCTTTCACATGCTCCCATACCAAATGATTTCACATAAAACATTTTCCTGAAGAAAATTTGAGATTTTAAGTCTTTATATCTAAAAAAATTCCACAAGAATCAGTAAATTCTGTATTGCATTGTTTGCATGCAGGTCTGGAGACTGCGTCCAAAAGGACCATAGCTCCACAGGGTGCAGTGTCAGATGGGACAATCTCTACTCCCTGAGACCTTCGTCTCTTAGGCCTTCATCTTAGAGACACTGCTAGATGTAATACAGAATTTGAGCTTAAGAGAGTGCACTACAGCACAGTGGAACAGAAGAAGATAGACTGTTGAAGATGGTACTTTACGTTCCTTTGCCCTTTAGGTAAAATATAGGTCTTTAGGTAAAATATACCCTGCAAAAGTAGTACAAAAGATAGAAGCTAAAATCATGTATTAGTACATGTTTTTCTAACTGGTCCCATCACTATTCCAGAATGGTAAATAACTGCATCAAAATTCATCTTTGGGGTGGATATTCTTTCTTTTCCTTATTTTTCCAAATAGCTCCAATAAGTGGAAGGATAATGAACATTACCTGTACTGGCTGTACGCAGATGTGATCATTACCAACAGCAAACACACAATCAAAGTCACTTCACAGTGGTGATATGGCATTTTTTCTATAAACTCATTCATTTCACTGCATTATGTGCAACCTTGCGTGTATGCACATATGTGTGCGAGCAAGAAAGAAAATCAATACTCATTCCCAACTAAGCCTTTTGAAAGGGAAGGCTGCTCTGACTGTGAAGGTTACTGCAAGAGGTTATGATTTTAGAGACCACACCATGCTTCAGCGTGCCTGCAAACACAGTGCCAAGGTTAAAAAAAAGCCTTGGTGCCTGCTCTGTTCCAACAGCTGGAAAGAAAAATCAGAGCTCCCATTTTAACTGCATTTGTCTATTAGTTATTAATCTACTTGTCCAGAAAGACAAGTGGGGAAAATGATGTATTAATACTAATCTGGCAGGATTACACTGGAATTATTAGAATGGGATGACGTCTTAATAAAAGGTCATTTCAGTAATAAGTAGGGGGAAGGGAAAAAACACCCTGCACAAATAAATGCAGAAAGGCTGGATTAAGCTCTCCCAGCGCTATGATGAGGAGAATATGCAAATAAAAACATCCAAGCTGCTCTCAAACAGGAAATGAAAAACTGTAACACAACAAAAACATTTCCCAGAGCAGACATTCAGGCCCTCTGCCAGCTCTTTAAAAACACTGTTAATAACGGTGCAGTAGCTGTTCAATATGGAAGCAGCTGTGAAGAGAACGAATGGCATGTTACCGGAAAGCATGAGGATCAGCAAATTATTATTATTTAAAGAGAGAAATAATTTTGCTCAGAAAAATGTGCTGTCCACAGAAGCAAAAATCAAATGGCCCTTTTATATTTGCAGCTTGTATCACATTAAGGAGAATAGACAGCACTTTGCAAGGCTTGCTAGGCCAGCTCTTCACAAATATTTACTTCTTCAGACAAGTGAATAAGCATCAAATGAGATTTTCGAAGACGCTTCATTTTTGGGGTGCCAAGACACCTGTACACATATTCACAGATTCACAGAGTGGTAGGGGTTGGAAGGTACCTCTAGAGATCATCTAGTCCAACCCTCCTGCTAGAGCAGGATCACCTAGAGCAGGTTGCACACGAAACCTTTGAAGGCTTCTCTCTGTGGATGACAATAGCTTGCCACTTTGGAAATGAGTTAAATTCAGCCATAAAAAAAACCCCAAGCCTCTCAGTGGCTACTTAGTGGCTAGTCCAGATCTTGTGGATCTCAGCTTCATGCTGGGCAATGGCGTTTTATCAAATGCTACTTTGGGGAAACCAATTTTTCAAGAACTTTTCCTAAAATCAACTTCTCCACATACTTTACAGAACGTACTTAGACTACAAAACCCACTAGGGGAAAAAAAACAAAACCTAGTGAATTTAAAACCAAGGTAGGTGATGAAGGTAGCAGGGAATTTCTAACTTTTCAGCCTGCTTTAGTTCCATGAGCTCAAGGAGATTAACAGTAAGTGACATGAACACTGCTTCAGAAAGCAATGTTACATGGTCCAGACATCAGAAAAGGGACATATTCTGCTTCCCACAAACCTGCTAGGTAGTAATTCCTGCCTGAGAAAATATCTGCTTTTCTGTCCCTTCAGTACCTGCCAGCCAGACACACGGCGCTGGGGGGACCCCTAAGGATAAACCATCTCTGAAGGGCGAGAGCAGAACCTGCCTTCAGATGTTTTCTCTCTCATCACAGCACCCGGTCCAGGACAGCCTGGCCTCAGAGAGGCATCTAGGTGCTCCACACCAGAAGAGATTTCATCCTCTTAGGAGAAATAAAAGTGTGTCTTGCATTTAAGAATGTGGTCTGGTGGCTGCAATGACCTTCAGGTCAAAAAATGAATGATGTCATATTAAATGAGTTCATAGCCAGTGTGACACAGACAATCCCTTCATGATAAAAAATCCTTCACAGCCCTGACCTTTTGGATTCATCTTTCCTGTCCATTTAGATGGCGGCAGCAATAATCAACTGATGCGCTGAAGGCCATGGTCTTTTTCTTACCTGTAATAACAATCTCTCATCGCCTATGACGGCAGCTTGGTTCCAATCAATCACTTCCGAGAACGGCAACTCCCATCCGTTGCTGAGCATAACCGGGACGCAGGCAGCCTGCACGCACACACAGGCATCACAGTCATTAGCGGGTACCCAACCATTAGGGAAAGCTTTGAGGGTTGCACCAACGTCATGACCATTGCTTTCTGTATAAGCTCTGAGCCAGCTCTCATAAAGGCCGTCAGGAAAGGCAACACGGCAAAGAGCACCAGAAGCTAGAGGCCAGCCCAAATTTTTGTGGTTTTCCATTTTGTGCTTAGTCATATTCACTGGAAGGTTGGGCTTGCATGGAAAGTGTCATTTAAAATCTGGTGCTTATGCTGCCAGGCAAGGGCAGAACGGTTAAAATGCTGTAGCTGTAACACCGGAGAATTTAATACTAAATGATGGCATCCCTCGCTGCTTTGTGAACCATTCAGCAGGGAGCTAACTCCCTCAATTTTTATAATATGTTGCAAGACAACCCTCCAGAAAATATGTATCATACTTAATTCGAGAGCACTTTTTCCACAAAGGTGGAGTGAACTCCCTATCCTGTTTGATATCAACTCTCCCAAAAGAGGAGAGTGCAAAACCATCTCATCTGTCTACAAAAATGAGAATTGCTTTCTGTCTTAAAACAAACAAAAAGCATATGCATTTAGTATCTGTTTCATACCAGTATGATCTAAATTGTTCAATCTTTTGCGAGCGACACAAGTTCCTCTGCACAGACAGCAAGTTTGGGAATATTCAGTAAATAGGGCAGTATTTCCATAAGCCAATGATCGCCACTATGTTCTGGTCAGCTGGATGACAATGTAAGAGTCAAACCTAAAACCTCCTGATGTGATGAAAGAACCTGTTACCAGATGATCTGCATCAAGCCCATGCTCTGGTTTAGTTTCTTTTGGATCAAGCTAAGCTTAAGTGCTCTGAATTTGGTCCAGATTAGGGTTCAGACCTCCCCAAAGATGGTATAAAGGGGAACCTTTCAGACTGCTGTACCTTCCTTGGTAACATGTATTACACACAGGATCTTAGACTGGTCAAGTCTCTGCATTACAGCAATGCTTATAATGTATAAAGAACTGTGATCTTCTGCAAGGAAATTACATTAGTGCATGAAAAAAGCCAACCAGAAAACACTTAGCAATTTGTTTTCATGTTTAAAACATTCCACTAATGGGGATTACGTCTTTCGACATGCCCCGGAGCCAGACAGAAATTGGAAATTCATCATAATCAGTGAATACTGCTGCTACCCTGCTAGGAAAATCCTCAGTGCCTGCATTTTATCCTCATCGACCTGGAGCCTCCGAGTTCTGTACAGTGAGATACGCTCCCGGCTTTCTTCTCCTGAGACGATGTATCTAACAGAAGCTGCAGGACTTGCGGCCCAGATGAGAGAATGGCTGAGCAGTGCTCTTCAGAGGAATCTGAAGTGACTTGTCATCCCAAATAAGCCAGTCCCACTTCTTCCTCTGAAGAAGCTGCAGAGGGAACAGCACTTTGCAAGCTATTTAACTTCTGAGTAGGAGCAAAAACATCAGTGACAGTCCAGAACTGGGATCTCAAATGTGACAGTAAGTGTGGGTTCAGTGGTTAAACCTGTGTCCAGCACATTTGGGATGCTCTAGCATATCCAAGAAACTCATCAAAGGCTGGCAGACATGACATAGGATCTACTGGAGACCTTCTGGAGAAGCAGCAGAGAGCCAGAAGGGTACCCCATGGCTTCTAAAATGACATGATACACCTACACTTAGGTGCCTGAATCCTGCTCTGCACTGCGGTAAACAATACTCTTTAACAGTGGCTGGGAGATTTTGTGGTTGATGAAGAAAAACGATGTGATGCTATTTATTAACAGCTTTACTGCCAATGCTGGGCCTCTTCCCAAATGGCCAAAGGACACCCGGAGGCAGGACCCTGCAAAGTGTCCTCATTTGCCATCTCACTGACATCAAGAAGTGCCTCAGCCTCCCCCTCCCTCCACTCCAGCCCCCATGGAAATCCAGATGCCAGTCCCAGAGGGGAGCTGCAGCATCTCCCAGGGTTCTCTGTACGGCTGACTGAAGATCCAGGACCCCAGGCCTGAGCTGATGCTTGCCCACAAAAAAGGTCATGCCAGGTGCAGCCAGAGCACGTCAGCGTCAGGCTCGATCACTGTGCAGCCAAGTCCCACTGCCACGGTGACTCGGGAGCCCCTTTGCATTGCCCTCTGCTGCTGGCCAACAGCAAAAAAAAGGACACTATTAACCTAAATGTTTTAAAAGGTGAAGGGGATTCGGGTGCTATCCCAGATACATTGCGAGCTCCCTGAGATCAGCCTATATCCACCTTCATGTGAAGCTTCCATCTGGGGCTTTACAGCCTCTGGGCCACCTTCTGCATGTTCAGCAAGCACCATCTCAAGACAGGCAATGCATAAGCAGGTCTGCTCTGGCTAAGTGTACACAAAAAGTTACTTTTACTGCCCCGGGGCTTACTTGTAGAGGCCAGTGTCTCCCACAGGAAGTCTCACAGCTTGACAAAATACTGCTCGAAATGGGTCCAACCTCTCAGCCCCACCACATCCAGGGAAACCCTTTCCTGGAGGTAACGCAGTTCAACCTTCAGATGAGCTCAGTGCTCAGCCCCTCCTGGGAAGAAGCTGCCAATTGCTCCAGAAGTATGAATAGAGGCTTTCACAAAGTGGATTACTGTACACTAGGGAAATGAAACACATTTCACTCCTCCCCACCTCCTTGCTATTGCACGCTGAATTGCAGCCAGCGTAGCCGATGTTTTAAACTGCAGCTCTTACCTGCAAGGCTTCCAGAAACCTGAAAGAGCCAAGCCTGCGGCCACGGGGAACCAGACAGAAAGTGGCATTGTGCAGCATTTCACGGTAATCATACCTAACAAGAACAGGGGAGAAAAGAGAAAATTCAATTAGTGGTGAGTCCTAGAGCAACTGGGCGTGAAAATGCAAACAGCTGTTGAGACACATCTGGATAAAATCATCCCTGACCAAGACCGCTCACCGCCAGGTTAACTAGCTCCCTCCACGCACACGTGTGTCAGCCATCTCCCTGCTCCTTTTTGTTCATCCTAAGGAGCAACCACCATGGGAGAGAGCTGGGGAGAGTGGTAATGAAACTGAGAATGAAGGAAATCATTTTGCCTTTGTAATAATCAGCCATTTCTATATCAGCAGGCATGCATGAGGTCTAACAATAAACTTATATTAAATATTTTGATACCCGAAGTGCGGCACTTCTGTGACCCTGATTTGTTTTCAGATTTAGTCAAAATCATGCACAACTGTGTTCATTTCTGCACAAGAGTTTGAATTAAAAAATATTCAAACTATGCTAAAAGAAGTCTTCCCTTAACAAGCAGGCACTGAAAAATGGACGGCAGGTTACAATGACTCACTTGGTGGTTATTGTCAAGTGTGGTGAGAGGGATAAACTGCCAAATTTTGGCAATTAACCACATATTTGCATCGACCCCTGCTCTTCGGAATTAAAACTTTAAGTGCTTATAGACACTCCTGGTTTTTTTTCCTGATTCCATCAATCACCTCAAAACCATTTACCAAACCCACACATCAAATCCTAACAGTTTCCAGCCTGTTATTAGCTAATTGTACTTCTGGCAAAGCCATGGAACTGTGAATGGCACCGACCTCTGAGACAAAAGGATCCAGATTAAACACCCTCCATTCTCCAGAGTGTCCTGGCCTTTGCAGACAGATGTTATTTTGACAGTATCTTGTGGCACTGAAATTCTCTAACACTAATAATCTAATTTAACCATAGCCTGCAGGCAGAGCAATTTTTTTTGTATGCCTGTATATGTGTATGTATATACATGCATATATGATTATATTTTTTAATATAAAAAAGTCCAGACCTACGTTTGTATTCTCACACAGGCCAGACAGATGGGAGTAAGCCAATTTTCAATTATAAGCTCCCTCTTTAGGAAGAGACATCTTGCAAAGGCCCATTTGCTTAAACAAGCGTGTATAGCTAATTTGCACAAGAAAAGGTCACTGTGAATGGATTAAGATTATCTCCACTGACAGTAAAATAAAAACCCTCGTTGCATTAATTAAAACTACAAAACAGACTTCAAAGTACTTCTTTTTTTTGTTTTAAATCCTATCTCAACTTTGGTTAAAATACATATATACATATTCCATCTGAGTGGCAGCAATTTCTTTTTCTCTGTGTGGGATATTGATTGGCAGCCACGTCCCAGCTCACAAGCCAGCAGTGACACAGCACACAGGGGAAAATATTAGGAAACCGGAATACTAAAAAAATAAAAAGTTGCCATTTTTAAGCATTCCTTTTTTACATACTGAAAGGTCTGAGGCTCATCACTTTCACTGTATATCGTATGACAGAAAATTTTAATAAATACCAAAAATAGAATACCCCGTAGGGCTACAACACGCCAGTCAGAAGTCCCCCATCGTTAGCTAGCTGAGAATGTAAAAACCTGTTAATACCGCGGAATGCAACAATATCCACAAAACACCGATGGCAGAACCAGAACACAAAGAAGAGCAGAGAACGAGGGCAGCACGAGTCCTTCATACGCCACCAGTGTCTTATATTGGACACCTTTTCTTTCATATCCAATTTGCTGATATTAGGATAGATTTACACAGGGGGAAAAAAAAAAAAAAAGAAAGAAAAGGATTTTGTTGACCATTTTCCACCTGGAAACCAGTTAGCGTCTTGCTCCCATTTGTGCATTTTAAAGCCTAATGTGTGATTTATTGCAGAGCTCTGGAATAGCACCGTTCATGGTCATCAAGCAATTTATCTACATCATACGTACACAGAGAGCCTCATCCTAACCTTGATGTATGGGCACAAAATTTCCACTCACTTCAGGGAGAGCCCGCAAATACAACAGGAGCAGACCCAGAGTAAAGCAATATCCATTGAGAGCTGCTGCAGCGGATGAATTGCACCAGAGCTTCTTCCCATGAACAATTTCCCTGCAATTTCAACCCAAATGTTTTAAGGTGACTCGACAAGATCTTTGAGTGCAGTGCTAGTGGACTGGCTTCCAGTTTAATCCCCCTCAGCAACCACTCCAGGATAAAGCTTCTGTTTGAAATCCTTAAGCACAAGGGGCTAATTTTACTCTTACTAGTTTGTGGGTAGCATGCAAAGCAACAGGGGCACCTTGGATTAGCTGGAAGACAGAAGATAGCCCAGTATGTTTAAATACAAATTCAGAAACATCTTTCACACAACACATGTAGCCAGCCACAAATACATAAACTTCCCTGTCAAGCTGCAAGCATAGCTTTGTAATCTGAAGCATCTCTTGCGGAGTAAATCATTTACATGTACCAAATAGCACTTTAGAGCTGAGTCTGCAGCACAGACCATTTCATGTTTTTCTCAGACTGCCAGGCAGCGTTTGGAGGAGACCTTGGCCACAAAAATGTCACCAGGTGAGTGATAATCCAGCTCACAGGCCATGGGGAGGACAGAAAGCTTCGGGGCAACCCTCAGTTTCAGTCTCCTTCCTGTTCGGCCCCATAGGTACCACACATGCAGCAGGAGGTTTGAACTTTGCTGGTGTTTTGTTGGGGAGGGAAAATTGCTTATATGTATGACTGGCATTTTTTTCTACATAGGAAGCATACACATCTCACCTGAAAGCATCTCTGCACTTCCCTTAACTCTGACGTGAAATGCTTTCAGTGAAGTCAGAGAGATAATCTCTATGATTAAAGGTAGGTATCTGAATTAAATCTTTGCTGTACTTGAAATTTCTCCTTCAATTGTCCAGGAGAGAAATCGGAGGTGGCGCAGACATCCAGGAACACCCTCTCAGCTACAGCAGGACAATTGTACATTAAGTAGTGATCTGGCATCTATTGCAAATACCAGTATCACATCAATGATGGGCTTGATTTCCCCACCATCTTCACTGCCTAATCTCAACAAGACCTCGAGGAGGGAATGAAGTATTATAACCCCACTTGCAACTGGTGAAGGGGCCTTAAGTTACAGAGAAAATAGTCAAGTGTTTAGAAGAGGTTCTTCCAGAGCCTTCTCTTCTTCTCCCCTGGCAATGGGGGTTATATCTGTTTTCAGAACTACTTATTTCCATTAGCCGGTAATGTCTGAGGATGGCAGGGAGATTTGTTACAGTCTTCCTGCTTGCATCGCCGTGGTTTCTGCAAACCCGGAGCTGCCAACTCATGGGGACAGCTCTGCAATACCTGCCTGTCCAGACACTCTGGTTTTACCTGACTGCAGAGGTTTTTCAGGCTCCACTTGCAGCTGGGGGATCGGAGCAAAGACTGGCACCACAGGGCACCGCACGGGCGGCTGGCTGGGCGCGTCTTCCTTACTTGTGCTGCTTCGATGTCGCATGCCTTCTGGCGCTTTCCTTCCCTTTACTGTTGGCAGTTCATCTTGCCGAGCACTTCCTGTGGGAAAGCTTTGAGAGGAGTCCTCTGCTTTGCTCAGAGGGTCCACAAAGCTCCTGGTTTCCACGTTAGAAGACTGCTGGGGAGGGGGGGCACATGCTGTTGTTCATATCCCTCTACTCCTTCACTCTGCACGCTCGCATGGAGGTAACATCTTACTGCCAATTTTAGGGTCGGCTTGGCCTGGGCCTCAGCTGCATCATTCAAGCATGTTAAAATCCAAAATGCATATGCCTTTAAAATGACAGTTGCGGCTTTAAAACTAAAATAGCTACAGATTTAACCCAAAGCTCGCATGCCTCTGTAAGGATCAGCAGTGTGTTTCATTAACTTTCAGGCTTCCTTCCGTAATGATTAAGTGTACCTTGTTCCCAGCTAATACCTTTTTAGGCAGCATAAACAAATAGCTCTATTTGTAATCAATTCTAATTTATTCACACTTTAATTGAAATACCCCTCCCTGCTACCACCCATAGCTGAGAAAACATGTTCGGCCCCATCTATCACACAGGTGTAAACACTGCAATGCCGTGTGGGCAATTATCCGAAGAAGAAATGCTGCTTAGCCAAATGCTCTTACCATTTTAACTTCTTGATCCAACACATTGCTTCTGTCTTTCCTCATGCCTCCTTTTTTTTTTTTTTTCTGTCTGATCTGCCGACCTTGTCAGTCAGCACATGGATTAGAGGGCTGCCTGGGATTCCTGGTTCACCATTATCCCAAGGAGTCCGGGGGCAGGCTGCAGAGGCTCTGCAGTAACTACTCAGCCATGCCATACATTCCTTCTTACAGCTTAAGCATTTCCCCATGTCACTACACTTAAGAGATTATAAACTACCCTGGGAAACATTTTCACTACCAATTTTAATATGAACTATTTTTTTCCAAAGCCACGTCGTCATCGCCATTGATTTGAGGTGATCGGCCTCACCTCAAGTACTGTGTGCAGTTTTGGGTGCCACAGTACAAAAAGGACATAAAACTATTGGAGAGTGTCCAGAGGAGGGCAACACAGATGGTGAAGGGTCTAGAGGGGAAGACGTATGAAGAGAGGCTGAAGTCCCTTGGTTTGTTCAGCCTAGAGAAGAGGAGACTGAGGGGAGACCTCATCGTGGCCTACAGCTTCCTCACGAGGGGGTGCAAAGGGACAGGCACTGATCTCCTCCCTCTGGTGACCAGTGATAGAACCCGAGGGAACGGAATGAAGCTGCGACGGGGGAGGTTTAGGTTGGATAGCAGGAAAAGGATCTTCACTGAGAGAGTGGTCGGGCACTGGAACAGGCTTCCCAGGGAAGTGGTCACAGCACTGAGCTTGATTGAGTTCAAGAAGCGTCTGGATAACGCTCAGTCATATGCTCTGATTCGGCTGGTCCTGTGTGGAGCCAAGAACTAAACTCGATGATCCTTATGGGTTCCTTCCAGCTCAGGATATTCTATGATTCTAT